TGGGCAGGGGATATCGACAGAGAAGGACCACTAGGTGTAGAACTGGGGGCCATTTTTGATCAAATGTATATGTAACACGTATTTTTGTTTAATATATTTTATTGTTGTATTTAATTAATACAACAATTTTTCATTTATTATTATGGTATATTTTTAATTTTTATTTAATTATTATATTAAAACATCATAAAATATTTTAATCTTATAATGCAATTTTAATTAGTATTTATTTACTAAATTAATATAGTATAATATTTTTTATTATTATAATATATTATTAATTAATATTATATAATTAAAATTATTAACATATTTTATAATATGATTTTTAATATTAAAATTATTAAATATTTCATTGAATAAATAAAATAAATAAATAAAACAAAAAAAACACCCCCTTCACATGCTCGTCCACCCATTGGACGAGCACACACACGGCCCAAAAACCCTTCACAAGCTCGCTCATCCATTGGACGAGCAGGTACTGTAAGTGCGGTATTTCTGTTAATTTTTTTCAAAGTGGAGTATATTAGTATTTTTTATTTCAAAATAGAGTATTTGTGTAAAAAAGTCTGAATATGTAGCCAACTTGAGGTATTTGACTTTCCGACTTACTAATGCATTTTTTTTAATGACGAAGGTCACACTGCTTTTAATGATTCAAAGGTTAAGGTGCTTATCATTTGGAGATTTCCCCTTCTAAATTGCATTTAGTGAGTTGTGCATAGTGCGAGTCAAGAAAAGTCTGCCTATGTTGATCCTATTTTTTCACTTGTGTGTACAGAGGAAGTTAGCCCATGTCCACCCTCAAGGGTTGGTTTTATTGAAGGATATATGAATTTACTTAAAAATTTCAAAGAGATACACAAATTCACTTAAAAATTTCAGAAAACTTTTCTCTGTCATGCCTCTAAACCATGATTCCCACGAAACACTCTGAAATCTCGTATGGGGGTAATGAACGTGTACACTTTCTTTCACAACTACTCATTCTAGTCCTTTTTACTGCAAGTTTTCAGAAGTCTTTGGCCGGTTGGCCCCAATGTCCCCATGATCGAGAAGAATTATCTAGATGTTGTCACAGAGAATGATGCCAATCATATGACTAAGTTAGATGATATTTTCTGTTAAGAAACGGTCGCAGAGTCTCTACATCACATGCAGAAACTCTCTATTGTTGACTCTTCAATAACTAGTGCACATCTGAAATCTTTTCATCTTCCAAGGTCTATGAAGGGATTCTGATATTACCTGATCAGAAAAGAGATCAATAGTCAGCAACACGTCGTGAACTCCTCGTTCGCTGATGGTGGAGAAGAGGATGAGGGTGTACCTGCAAGGCACTCCGATGCTAAAGTAAGTTTCAAAGAGAGAGAGAGAGAGAGAGGGGGAGAGAGAGAGAGAAAGCAAGTACATAAAGAGTTAGAATACCTGACCCTCTTGTGAAAGAGGGTATTTATAATGTGCCCTCGGCGTTGGGCCAACAATTATCTGCACTGGGTTGATAGGCCTAATACGGATAACTGCCAAGATCTACGTGGCGTAAGGAAGACCATCATGTGGTCTTTATCTTGGGTCAACTGCCCCGTAAACTTCGAAAGGTGGAGGACCTGTTCTGCCGGACGCGTGAAGTTAACTGATGACGTGTCCCTGCGTGGAGAGCGCGTGGAGACCGTGAGGAGCGTTCCCGTGCGAGTTGATGGATTGAGCCTTAATTGGGCCCTCTCCGACGAAGAGGTGGGTTGGACCGTGCCCGACAGTGGGACAACCTCTGGCCCAGTCCAGAACATATTCCATTAATAGGCAGTTGAAGAGTTCTAATGTAGAGAAAACAAAGGTTGTTGATGACCTGACCAAGGCTTTCAAGAGGAAAATGCAAAAGTATCCAACTAAGAGCCCTCTGACCAGATTTCCAAGAGCGATGATGACGTCAATTTTTTTGTTCTTTTGTAGAATTTAAAAAGAAGGCGGACTCTATTGATAAGATCATGACTAGTCAACACAAATTCATCAATGAGAAATATATCATTATTAAAGAGATATATGGAGCTTTGATCACTAAGAAAATAACCCTCGAGGAGGCTCATCAGGCTCTGATTGATAAGGAGATCATACTAAAAGAGGTTTTGGCTTTAGCCAGTAAATAGATTGTTGGGGAAGATACATATAAAGCCATGTTTGCGACGAAGTTAGAAAATGCATGCTTGGAGAAAGAGTTAAGTGATTTTATTGATGACAATGCTTAATATGGAAGAATCTTTTAAAAATGATATAAGGAAGATAATCTCTCTCTCATTCTCTCCTCCCATGCTTTTTGTGACTATTTCAGGGATTCGTGTCTGGCTCATTTTGGATGTCTCTAGGAAGCGAGCCAGACTAAGGGTGTTTGTTTGATTCATTTTGGATGTCTTTAAGAAGCAAGCCAGACCAAGGGTTTGCTTCCTTTCCCTGCCCCAAGTGATAACTTGGTTTGATGGATACCATAGTTCTTTGTTTATGCATCACTTATGCGTTCTAGGTTATGTGTCTTTGTTTGTGTGATTTGCATAACTTTTGTATTTCGCACTTTGACTCACCCTCGCATTGTTCATCACATATGCGTCTGAGGTTTAATGTCAACTTGGAAGGTCTAATCTTTACCCCAATGTCTTTGGATTTTCCCATTGTTATGCCATCTCTACACATTCGAGGTTTAATGCCAGAGGGAAAAGTGTAATCTTTACCATGTCATTAGCAGAAAAACAACCACACGTCGTGGTGAAAACCCAGGGCCGACTCTAGGGGTAGCCTATGGCCTCACTTATTTTATTTTATATTATTTTAATTAGTTGATTTTTTTAAAAGTAATTTTTTAAATTATATTATATAACATTTATTTAGAATATATAATAATAACAATCATTAATAATATTATAATATGTATTATTTGATTTGTTAATTTAAAAATTATATGTATAGATGATAAGTTTTTGACTTCTTTAACATAATAGAAGGCTTGATATCTAAGTTTTTTTTATAATTTTGTCATTGTTTTTCAATTATGATTTTTTTAAATAATAAGAAGAGTGTTTAAAAGAGTTAATTTTATTATCAATTGAAATAAAATACTAAATGAAATTGATTATAATAATTTAATGATTTTATTATTTTATATCATAAAATAACTAAAATATAATAATTTTAAAAATTTTTTTATTATATTAAAAATGTATAGTTTTAAATTCTGCCTCAGGCCTCGAGACGTGTTGGACCGGCCTGTGAAAACCTCGTCTATTAAGTTTATTCTTATAAATATTATAGTAAAGTTTCACACAAGTGACAAGAGAAATTAAACAGAAAAAGGACTTAAAAGCAATAACATTTAAACTCTATAATGTTCTATGTTCTCAAGATAAGCTCCCCGTGGAGGGTCTCAATCGTCTAAACTCACTTCTCAGTACTTGTTCGGACCTTGTATGACCCTTCACACTTTTGGCAGATATGAAAATGAATATGTCGAAGGAGATGAGTATACCTTTCAATTTCATTATTCTTTCTTTAGTAGATAGAGTTTCCATATTGACGAT